TTATTTTCCTCTTTAGGTAGAAAAAAACAGCACTAAAATATCTCCACAACAAACTGTCCTACCAGGAAGAACAGGACAGGCAAATCTGACATAACCCATGTTCTGCAATGTCATCAGCATGCAGAGAGAAAGCAAGTTCTTTGCCAAGAATGGATCCTCACTAGGACACAGTAAGAGGTCGCTCACAAACCAAGCACATAAACTGCTCAGTTTTTGCCAAAGCCTCTTCCACAGTTCAGTTGCTTCTGAAGGCATTTGTGAGCAGATGCTGAAAGCAGTCACAAGTGTCAGCTCACCCCCACTGTAACAGATTTTTCTTTGCTCTGAGCTAATCCAAAATCTGGGAGCCAAAATATCCTGCACTGATACAGCTACCAGTGGAAAGAGTTCGAAGATCAAGTGTAAACATACAAACATCCCAGACCATATGTTTCATTTTAACCTGGATCCTACCTTGCTGCTGGGCACAAGTGCTGTTGAAGTAGATTCAGTGGTTAATCTCCATTCTGTGCTGGAGCTGCCACCCAGCAGCTTCTTCCCCACGGGACCAGGACTCGGACATCATGCTCTCTGGTCCAGCACAAACACAGCAGGTATTCTACAGCCCTTAGCCAGGACTTCTCTCTCACAAGCTCCCAGTACCTCCCCAGATGCATCTAGTTGATACTGCAACCCCAAGCATGTGATTTTAGCAGGATCCCGCTTATTCTGGAGACCTGTTAGGCAGAGAACTTTGTCATTGGATACTTCCCAATCTGCAGATTTAGCAAGTGCACATTCTCCTCCATCATCCAGATCATTAATGGAAGTGCTGAGCAAAAACAGACCCACAACAGATGTCCCTGAATTTCACTCAACAGACCCCTTCCTTTTCAACAGTGAACTGTGGATAACTCTCTGGGTATAATTATCCAGTGGGTTTTGTACCTACCCAAATCCCATCTAGACCATCCTTAAAAGCCATTTGACTGGCAGCCTCCATCACCATGCCCTTACCCTGTCAGAGAGGAAAATTGAATTATTTTGACCAGATTCTGTTCTTGATAGAACATGGCACATCTTGTGTCCATATAGCTCCTGGTCATCTCCACTGTTTACACATACTGAAATTAAGTTATCCAGTTTTGTTTGTTTGGTTGATAGGTTTTTTTGGGGTTTGGTTTTTGGTGGTTTTGGTTTGGTTGTTGTTTTTTTTTTTTTTTCTAGTTTTTTTGGGGTTTTTGGGGGGGTTTTTTCTTTGGTAGTTTTGTAGTTTTCTGGTGGGGTTTTCTGTTTGTTTGGGGCATTTTTTTTGGTTTTTAAAAAATATATTTTTAAGGGGGGATTTAACTGTGAGCAGTTCCTGGCATTTGGCCCTAGTCCCCATTTTGAAGAGGGGGGAATTCCATAGAAATTCTCATAGACAACAATGACTAATTCTGGGATTTCTTTGTGTGAGGTTCACCACACTGAGAGGGTCTGAAAAAATCCCGTTTGTCTAAATACTATCCTCCTTGCACTTTTCTTCTTCAAGGCCAGATTTAGCCCCCATCACCAGCACGGCTTGCGCCCCCCACTCGCCCGCAGCTTATCTGAAGGCTTACAGCGCTGGGCGCCCTCAGCACTGCCGTCGGTTCTCCCTCCCAGCGCAGAAGCAGCGCGGCACCGGGCCCGGTCCGCGGCCCGCTCGCACAGCGGGGGATGCTCCCGCTCTCCTCGCTTGCGGCGTGCTGCCGGTAGAGCCCCGGAGCGCGGGCTGGGCGCGCATCTGCGGCAGCTGCTGTACGCGAGAACGCTGGGCTCAGGTAGGTCCATAGGCCTGAGGGGCGGTCCCGGTCCCGGTCCCGGTCCCGGTCCCGGTCCCGGTCCCGGTCCCGGTCCCAGCCGCCGCTCAGGGCCCGCCGCCGGCACGGCGCGGATCCAGCCCGGCCCGGCCGGCAGCGCCCTCAGCGCGGGCGGCGGCGCCGCCTAGCGGCGGGCTGCGGGGAGCGCCGCGCGCCCGCCCTCAGGACCAGGGAGCCGCCGGGGAAACCTCCCCAGCACCGGGACACCGAGAGAGCCTCCGGGGAAACCTCCCCAGCACCGGGACACCGAGAGAGCCTCCGGGGAAACCTCCCCAGCACCGGGACACCGACAGAGCCGCCGGGGAAACCTCCCCAGCACCGGGACACCGACAGAGCCTCGGGAAAACCTCCCCAGCGCCGGGACACCGAGAGAGCCTCCGGGGAAACCTCCCCAGCGCCGGGACACCGAGAGAGCCTCCGGGGTAAAGCCGCCCCCCTCGCTCCTGTCCGCCCCCAGCCCGGCTTCGCCAAGACCATGTAAGGCAGTTTAGGTAGAAAAAGAGCAACCATGAACACACCATTTCTTCAATGTTTTCTCTGGCCAGGCCAGAGAATTGTGGTGAACGGAGATAAACCCAGGTGGTGGACAATTGCTAGCAGTGTTCCCTGAGGTTCTGTTTTGGGGCCAGTCCTAACATCTTTATTGATGGTCTGGACACGGGGATTGAGTACATCCTCAGTAAATTTGCAGATGACACTAAGTAGGCTGGGAATGTTGATCTCCTCAAGGGTAGAAAGGCTCTACAGAGATACCGGGACAGAGTCAATGAGTTGGCTAAGGACAACGGCAGGAGGTTCAATAAGATGAAGTGCTGGGTCCTGCACTTGTCTTGCAGCAACTCCAGGGACAGCTACAGCCTAGGAGAGGAGTGGCATGAAAGCTGTTCAGAAGAAAAGGACTTAGGCTAAATAGGAATGAGAAATGTGCCCAGGTGGCTAAGAAGGCAAATGACATCCGAGCCTGTAACAAGAATACTGTGGCCAACAGGACCAGGGGAAGGAACATGTCCCCACACTTGGCACTGGTGGCCACAACTCAAGTACTGCTTTCAATTCTGGCCCACTCACTTCACGAAGGACATTGAGGTGCTGGAGCGTGTCCAGAAAAACTCGTGAAAGGTCTAGAAAACTTGTCTTATGAGGCAAGCTGAGGCAGCTGGGTTTGTTTAATCTCAAGAAGAGGAGGCTCCAGGGGGACCTCATCACTCTCTACAACTGCCTGAAGGGAGGTTGCAGCAAAGTGGGGACTGGTCTCTTCTACTCTGCCTACAGAGAGGACAAGAGAAAATGGCCTAGAGCTGACACAGGGGAGACTCAGATTAGACATTAGAAATGTTTTCACTGTTAGGGTGGTCAGGCATTGGAATAGGTTGCCCAGGAATGTGGTGGAGTCACCACCCCAGAGGTGTTTTAAGAGGCATCAGGATCTGGTGCTGGGTGATGTGGTTTAGGGGTTACAGTGGTAGTGCTGGGTGGATGGTTGGACTTGATGTTCTTAAAGGTGTCTTAGCAGCCTTGATAATTCTGTGATTCTGTGTGTGGGCACAGATGCTGTACACAGCTGAGGGAGCATGCCTGTGTCAGCTGTAGAACTTAGGAGAGCTGGCAGTTGCTGCACCAGGACCACAGCTGTTACAGAAAGTGCCCCAAACAGCACTATGCAGGAGAGAGACCACCTCATTACTCACGTATGTTCACCATCCCCTCTCTAAAGACAACTAAATGTGGAAGCCAGATTATTCCTATTCTCCAACCCTTCAGCTGACTGCTCCTGCCTTTCCCACAGCTGGGGAAGGTGCTGTTACACAACTACCCAAAATGCTACCGAGTCCAGAGCAGGAGCCCTTGTCAGGGAAGGCTGGACAGGGCTGTTGCCATCTTCCAGCATTGAAAGTGCAGCCCACTGGCCTGTGGTAACTTTCCCGTCCACTGCCTTGAAAGGCCAAAACTCATTCACCAGGTAGGAGCCAACACCCACCCAGAGGCTCGGACCCTCAGACTCAGGCTCTGAGGCACATCTTGGCTTTATGAAGCACAGTGACATGCTCATTTCAGATGGTAAAACAACAGTCTGATTTTTTTATCATCTCTCTCACTTCTAGCTCCCTGGTGGTGAGCAAAGGTGCTCAGGCAGCACGACCAGTTGATGACTGCAGAAGGGGTAAGCACAGAGGGACAGCCTGCTGGACACGTTAATAACGCTCAAGAAGACACAGTATCAAGATAGAGAAGGCAGCATTCCTCTCACACTTCTGTACAAAGGTCAGGTATGAAAACAACATCAAAGAAATCAATCAATCAATCAATCCATACATTACAGTATTTATTAGTTGTTTTAACACATCACCCCGTGGCAGATACACCCAGAGACAAGTTGACTCTGGTATCCTTCTGTCCCCAGCCCATGAGATTGGCCATGGGCAGGACCATTGGCAATGCCTGACACACTCTGCAGGACAGAGCTGGACCCTGCGCATCTTTTAGGGTTTGAGGCAGTAGCTAGTCAAGTTAATAGATGGGTTAATATTGTACAAGAGGCACACGACATGTAACAGCCATTAAAGTTCATGGGATTCAGTTCCTTGCATCACAGAGGAGAAAAGAGAGCCCAGGTAGATCCCTTCCCTACATAACCTTAAAAAAAAACAGCAGGAATTTTCCATTTCAGTGCTGTTCCCACCAGCAATCTATTAGGGTGTCCCTGCAGAGTAGCAGCAGGTTTGACCTCTGTTCTTCCCCAAAACTGGGGACCATGGAGAGGGCTGCTTTGAGAGGAGTTTCTCTACCTTTTTACCAAGGAGAGTCTTGATGCATACAGGATTCTATCAGTCCCCAAGAAGGAAGTGAGGCACAAGGCAAACCCAGGTCATGCAAGGAAAGAAAAGCAGAACCACAAACCCTGAGGTTTCCAGACCCCAGCCTCTTCCTCTTTCTCCTGTTACCAGCCTGCCACAACCTGCACCTCACTCTGGAATACCGCCTACCCACTGCAAGGCAGACACACCAAAGGCCAATGTGCAAGTTATTCTGAAGGCTGCTACCCACAGTGATCTCTTCCTAAACCACATCACACCCATCCCATCAGGCATTTAGGCTCCAGACAGAAGCAAAAAGTTTCCCCTTTTCCTCTTTCTCTCTCCTCAAATCCATCCCAATCTCTTCTTCCATTCCTTGGTTTTAATTCCTTTTTGATTTCTGGGTGCTACTCAGGTAAGTTTTCACAAAGAAGTTGGAGAAGAGGGCAAATAAAGTGGTATACAAGCTCGATGAAAGGAAAAGCACTGGCCAGGTAACTTGGCAGAGCTTATCATCCTTCCAGAAGAAGAGAAATATGTTAATTATTACAAATCCTGTAATCTGCACCATCTTTGAAGTGGTGATTAGTATGGTGGGAGAGCGGGGTACCCAATAGGGCTACCCAGGGTCTGGAATGCATCAGGTCAGCAACCTCCTCTCCTCACACCAGTTCTCCTCCATCCATTTCCTGGCTGCACGGTGATTAAAGTTCTTCTCGAAGTCATACTCCCCCGGCGGCTGCAGCTCCGACGGGTCAATGTTCGCTTTCATATTCAGCATCCCCGGGAGCGACCCAAAACGAGTGACTCCCGCCCGCTTCACGGTGGATATAGTCCCGGGAACGCGCTCCGCCCCAGCATCACACCGCGGCGGGCGGCGGCACCGGGAGCCGCCCGGGCCGACGGGGAGTTGGAGCCTCCCTCTCCTTGTGCTGGGTAAGGAGGGAGAGGCTCTGGTCACCCAGTCAGGATGAGCGGGAGGTCCTCCCGTTCCCCATCCAACCCAGCTCATCCCTCAGCAGATAGGCAAGGTGATTCCAGCGCTATCACCAGCAGCAGGCAGAAATTCCATTGCCCTGACTGCGGTTAGCTGTTGTGCCTTCTTTATCACAGTCTGAAGCATCTGGCCGCTGCTGGAGACTAGATGGATTCTGGATAATCTCCTACTAAAGTTCCTGCAGCTGAAAAAGGCTCCGACACAGTCAAAATCCCCTGAATGCAGCATATCTCATTGCACCCTCTGGTCACGTCTTGGTGTCTCTCCCAGTGTCACATCTTTACACAGGGGCAAAGCTGCACCCTGCAAAGCTCACAAACTTGGAAGGGGTTTGCGTCATGTAAGCATCACCGCCTGCGCACAAGTCATCGGCTTAACTGCTGCCTCTTCAAACAGGTGAACATCTGCCTGGGTGAAACATTTCAAAAGGTTGTATAATGCTTAAAGATCATCTAATTCCAACCCCTTTGTCATAGGGAGGAACATCTTTCACCACATCAAGCTGCCCAAAGCCTTTTGGGCAATTTTCTCTGTATTTGACAACACGGTAGTGCGAGAAAATCAGGAAAGAATTTAACATGTAGGAATTAAAATCCCTTGGTGATTTCTGCACCACCCCTGACTTACACTCTTTATTTTGCAGAGCACTTGCATGTATCTGTGGAAAGTTCAGCTTACACATGTCAGCAGCAGCAGTTTTACCATACCCCACACAGGGAAAACATCCTGTACATAGCATGAGCTCCCACTGTGCCTTGGACAGCTCTCACCTTAGTGTTTCCAGCACCAAGGATGTCCTTCTCCTTCCAGAGGACTGCAGGTCAGGGATTGTGCAGTCTCCATTCCTGGGTCACTTGTCATTCATCTTTCATCACCTACTTTGGGCAGTAGCATCACCAGGCAGAATATTCAAGTACATGCTGGAGGAAACGTTCATCAATTTCAAGGGCTTCTTCACACCACAAGAATAGGTGGAACCACCAATAAAACCAAGGGTAAGGGCAGAGAAGAGGCAGCACAGTAACACAAACTTTTTGCCCTTCTAATGCATACAAGTTGATGTTCAGCCTCATTATTCAGCAGCAAAGCCACGTTGGGAACCTTATCAACTTATCCCTCTCCATGCTCTTGACAATGGTTTCACTGTTGCTGCCTTCTTTGTCTGCAGATTCACTGTTCTTAGATGGAGTACAGTTGTTAGCTGTTTGAGGCACTACAAGTACAAAACACCTGCTTTTTTGACCTATGCTTCAGCAGCTATTAAACAAGGCCTCCTTTATGTAAGACACCATATGAGAAGAGAAAAAACCTTTAAATACCTGTTGAGAGATGCAGGGATGAGTTGGATTAGCTGAGTAGGAAACATCCTGATATTGACATAATTTCTTATTCCTAATCTAGTTTTAAGTTCAATAAAGTTTTCATTTTGAAACTGTTTCATGCCACATGAACAAGAACAATGGGTCTCCTAGGGCAAGCCTGTCCATCCATCCCTTAGGCAGTGGCACGTACAGTTACAGGAGGAGCTCATGACACTGCAACTTCTGGTACCACCTGAGCAGGCAGCTGGCAGCCCTCCCCAAGTGTCTCCTTGGCAGATGGAAACAAGAACAACACATGTAAAGAACAGAAGCAGATAGCAGGGATGAGGCTCTTAGCATCCTCTCGCACATATTTCTTGCTTAATAAGGCAGGCTTTGTCACAAACTGAAAGCTCATCTGCACAATCCAGATGCAGTTGTGACATCCTTATTATCCTCTTTTCTCCCCTCTGTCAAATACATCTGACTGCCCTTCTGGATCCGGGTGGATTAGCACGCAGAGAGCTGCCAAGCACAGTGCCTGGTCACTGGCACTGCTCAGAAACACTGCTGGACTCAGAAGGCTTTAGCAGCTGACATGCAATATAGACATCTGAGCAACTTGTAAATAAAGAGATGAGCTTATTTTCACACATCACAGCGAATTGCACAGAGCTCAGCCACTGCAGGTGAGGAAGCGGAGCCCCAGCAAAACTTCACACAGAACAGGAACATCAGGGCTGTAGTCCTGACTCAATGGGAGAGGAGCACTTCATTCTTCTGTCCTCCAACTGAGTGGGAAGGAGACAGAGGCCCTATGGAACAGAAGCATGCAGGCTTCTGAGCCCAAAATTTATTTATTTATAATTTATTTTGAGCCCAAAATGGCTAGGTAGGACCTCAAAGAGAAAGGAAAATTTTGTGAGGACCATGAAATAACATTGTGGATTCTTATGGAGAGCTGGGTCCCATTAGACTGCTTCTACAGCATTCCAGAAATAATTCTTCTTTGAGGTAGACCTAAATAGACTAAATTATCACTTAAAGATTAAATTGCTATTTTCAACAAGAGTTTTCATTTTCTGGTAAAGATTCACTTTTTCACCAGTACACATGGAGAGAGAACTAGTTTCTGATGTAGTGACTGAGCATCACCTACATCTTATTTGCCCGGTCAAGAATACAAGAAAACTGATTTTTGCAAAAATATAATATTTTTTAATCCCAAGTTTTAAAACTAATTTCTTGTAAGAGAACAGTAAAAAAACAAATAGACTACTTTGGTGGTAGATAGCACATTTGCATTCTGTCAAGACTTGAGAGCATGAATATATTTGTGAAAGACTGCAGGCACCATTCAGAATGAGCAACGACATGCCAAATCCTGGTATGACCAGGAAGTGCAGGAAGTGATTTCCAGAAAGACAGAATGCATAATTTCTCTGCAAAGAATACTACAAATTAATGAAACCAACAAAAGGACAGCAAACCTTTACAGCTCCCTAGCATCACAGATAAAGTCTTCCATAGCAAGTGACACAAAAACGATGACACAGAGAAGTCTGTAGGACTTAAACATAGTGGCAGGAGTCAAGAGAGCAGCTGCAATAACTAGAACAGGGCAAAATATTATAACTGTGTGGGCTAGAGGCAATGTGGCCACCAAAGTCTTCAAGTGCCTGTTGGCTGGCTGACTGTTACTGTACTGCCAACTACCTGCCTGATCCACACAGGTGGGGACAGGGAAACAAGGAAGCAGAGTTGTTGGTTTAAAAAAAAATAGCTCCAGGTATTAATATGCCAGTTCAGATTGCCCTTAAATATAAGACCCCTGACAGCCTGCAGGACAAGAGTGCACACAGAGTCAGCCTCACCTAAGCTGGGCCTTGCTGGTCTGAGTTACACTGCCATCCCCACCACTGCAGAGGACAGAGTGTTTGTTGCCCAGGAGACAAGGCTATTACACATAACCACCTCCAAATCAGTTTGTTGTACTGTCTGTGATTGTTAATTGTGATTTACACATCAGAGCAGTGAAAGCCATGGAGGGATCTCCCTACACAAGCACCACAAGCTTCATCAAAGCTTAGGATAATGACCTGATTCCATATGACCCTCTTGACTGCAGAGAATATGACTTCATATATGGGCCCTCCAAGGACAGCTTTTTCACCAGACTGACCACACTATGAAAACAAAGAACAATCTTTTTGTTCTTTATCGAAGTATCTTTTAACTCCTTTAACACCAACAGAAGTGGCATGGCAGGTAAGGCATGATTTTATGCATATCACAGTTTGTTTTGATCAGGTTTAATAGCTAAGAAGAAATAGCAAGGATAAGAAAGAAAACATTCTGTCTTGATTGATTCCCTAACTTTGGAAAACAGCCTAGTTTTAACACATATTGCAGCAAAGAGTTTGACATAAAAGTGCTGGGGGAGTTACCCTGAGCTGTGAGGCTTACGCTCAGCTAAGACAAAACTTATGCCCACACAAGTGGTGAAACAGTGGAAAAAATTGCCCAGAGAGATGGTAGATGTCCTGTCTCTCAAAACATTCAAGGCTGAATGGGGTTCTCAGCAAGCAGATTTAGCTAAAGATGTACCTGCTCATTTCAGGGGGGTTGGGACTGGGTGATGTTTGGGTCCCTTCCAAACCAAACCATTCTATGATAACCCCTAGATACAAAAGCTGATGCAAAATGAGATATTATTTACATTTTCTGGCACTTCATATGTGGGCAGCTCTGAAAAGCTTTTGTTTAGAAATGGCAACATACAGTAATGCAGCACAATAAATAGCATACCAATTTGAAAACCAAAGCATCAAGAACACAAGCACACACATTTTTGCATAGATTGAGCCTTCCTAACAACCAGTCTGAAGAAAATTATTAATAGCTGGTTTGGGTAAAACCCAGGCAGTTGGCAGTCCTTGTTCCAAGGAGAGGGAAGAGTTGCAGTGCAAGTGTCAGAGGCAAAGAGCTTCAGGCAGGAGGTAGGCAGGAGGCATGGACTCAGGGAGGACTAGGACCTGTGCAGACTCACAAATTTGCCTTCATTGCCTTGCTTTGTTAAGTTTAGCTGAAATCCTTTCTTTCAGCCACCATGGCACAGGTACATTCCTTTGGAGATGTAAGGGAAGAGAGGGATAAACACCAGCAACCAGAGCTGCAGCAAAAGCTGTGAGAGACCCCATCCCAGTGCTGGGTAATGGTGAGCATGCCTGGAGCTGAGGCTCAATGCCTCACAAGTCTGCCAGCACAGGGCACCCTCTGGCACCAGCCACCACAGCCTGTGACACCAAGGTATCCACCAAGGGGCTCTCAGATCTTTGGCCATTAGAGGGGAGCAAACACTGCAAAAGTGCAGGGAGGTATCGCCTCCTGAACAGAGACCCAAAAGCAAGAGCAGGCAGGAGGTTTGTTGTGCTTCTTCCTGACTCTCTGGAAGTGTTAGCTGTCCTTTCCTGGAAAAGCATG